TTCTACTTCGCCGTAGCCACCGTCGCCACCGGTGCGCCGCCATGCTCTCGGCTCACCATAGCCCGGCCGCTCCATTGCATCCCCTGCCTTCCTCTTCTCTGGTCCAGCACTAAGCTAGGCTCTAGATGCTCAGGTCAGATCTAGGGTAGACGCTACCACCTAGTTGCATAGGAATGCGTCGCCGCTCTACGCGCGACCGTCGTGGCACTCGAGCTCGCCATTGCTGAGCTGGTCCATCGCCTTCCTCCTCTCTCACGCATCTTAGGTTGAGTAACCCTAGATCTAGCGGATGGCATGACTAAGACCTGCCTTTTGCAAATATATCTTGATGCATATATTCTCCTTGTCTAGGCAAATATATCTTGAATCCTTTGTAGGTCTAGGATTGAATATATGCTTAGCCTTGCTTAGTCTGGTAGAAGTCAGGTGATTTTCTGTCACCTGAAACATATAGGTAGATAACTGATCACGGTTGGCTATAATTGCTATTGTGGAAATAACCATGTGTTGATGAATAAAAAGGAGACCGGGCGGGATTGTGATAGCGAAACACAAGGCATGGAGGTCTTAGTGCCTATTTATCCTAGTCTGTGTTGGTTAAGGACTGATTCATCGTATGTCCTCATGTCATGTTGAACGCATGCCTAGCACTTAGTTAGCCAGATAAGTCATTCCGACCACGAAGCTGAGTAGCTCAATTTAGGCTAGGCCCCGGTAAGTGAAAGTGCGCACACTAGAGATAGTAAGGATATGTGGAAAGCCAGTGGCGTTAGTCCAAGGGCGGGCCGGGCCTGAACTTTCTGGCAGACTGGTAGAATCTCTGAGGGTGCGGCGTTGATCAAACCCGTGAAGTTGGTTCCTAAGTTGTACCAAAGGTGACCCGATGCGACCTCGATGGGGGAAGTCTGGGTGTGTGTTAGGAATAATTCCCCAGCTCGGTAGGAATCGATTCGAATCGTCGTCTCTCCCAGATAGTGAGAACTTGACTAAGCGGCGACAACATAGAGTAACTTAATGGAAATTTGATGGTTATGATGATGCTCAAATTATTACACCAGATATGGTTACTAATGCTTGTTAGCTTAATCAAGTGATTGCTCTAGTACCGGTGCTAATCTAGAGATGCTTAATTGAATAGGTATTCAAATTGATGCTAGAGGTACTAAATCTCCAAGTTATGTTACTTAAGCTTTTATGGAAAATGTTGTCAAGCTAACTCCACCAATAAAGCCTTGCATACTGCTTGGTGTCATACTATTTCAAGTTTATGACGGGTAAGTCTAGCGGAGTACATTCTCGTACTCAGGGTTTATTCCCTCTTGTTGCAGATGACATGATGTATCACGGGTATTGTTAGAACTGCTTCATCCTACCATGGATGAGGACTAAACCATGGGGCATGGTACTCCTAATATATCCTCTATGTTCTGCTTTTGCTGGAAATGAATGTGGTATTGGCATGTATTTGAACTAAGTGTGATATTGATGTCAAACTACTTTGCTTCCGCTATTTAAACTTGGTTTGTAATAACTATGTGAACTCCGATGTATGTGAGATACTTATGAACTATTTGTGAACTGTGATGTAACATGTGACTAGTTGTGTTGAATCATGTACGATCTTTGTTTGTATGTTGATTTGTTTGAGATCCTTCGTGATTTTATCAGACTATCGGGTTTATATGGGCTCAAGTATGACGGTTTGATCGCTTTGGTGATTGCTATTGTACTTGTGCTCTTATAAATTGGACGGTTCTATTACAAGCTACGTCATTTGCGATCCCATACCCACAATGACCTACCCCTCGCATGAGCTAAGTTATCAAGGTGGTATCCATGTTCATAACATTAAGTGGTATTATTCCTTTGCTAGATTAGTGAAGTAAGCCAAGTTGTACCCTCATTGCTTTTAGTAATCATTTATCCAAGTGTAGCATCCTACACGCGCGAGAATGAGTTCTCTTCTCATACTCAACTTCTACTGTTGCTAAGCAACTAAGCAATAAGCAATTAAGCGACCCATTCCCATTGCTTAGATAAGAGGCTTCTAACAGATTAAAGAGTGATTCTAAGTGTAAGGTGATCAAGATTATAATCCAAATCTACATGTAATGCATAACTCATAATGAGACTTCATAAGTATCCAATGTAGGGTTCATAGTAGTGGGGTGTCTGCCTGGTAACGCTACTAATTCTTGGCGATTCCCGGTTACCAATGACGACTCGCACATGATCCTCACAAGACGAGATAACTAAACCTGAAAGAGAGGATCTGATGATTGGAGATGGTTGCATGATAAATAAAGAGATTTAGAGTTAATTAGGAACTTTGGGAAGAGATATCTAACTATGGCTCCACTTTATTATTACTTGGAAGCTAAGCTATTTGGGAGGTGGTTGTTCCTTGGGTAGATCGCTTGAACTATCTCACACTCTCTATGATTGACGGATACTTCGTACTAGGCGACGGACGTTTCTATGTAGGGTTCTGAGGTGAGGTGCCTCCGCTTGGCTCTGTATAGGTTAACGGGTACTCCGTGGGAAATCATGGAGGCTCTGGTAGGTTTAGGATTTAGTCGTTTCTAAGGTTCACTGCTATCCTCATATGGTCCGATCGACTGACAGACGCTCCGGTATGAATTGGGTACTCTCGGGTTGCTGGGTAATTATTTCTTATAATTTGTCGGACGCTCCGTCGTGAGTGACGGACACTCTGGTAAGGACTGGGTGCTATCGGGTTCTCTAATTGTGAGTCTTTATTATTCAGCGGACACTTCGTTGTGGGTGGCGGACACTCCGTTGTGTCGCTTAGAAGGGAGTTTAGGTAGTTGGTGGCTAGACTCAAGATTTGATGGAAATTTGTTCTAATGACGAATGCTCCGTCAGTTGGGCGACAGAACCTATGCTCTTGGGTTCTTGGGTGAAGACTTTGGGACGCATGTCTAGATCTTGGGTTGAAGCCTCCATATTTGTTCCGGGCATTCCTAGTGTAGCTTAGGTGGATAACTAGGCTTAGGTTACTTATGGTTTGGCTTGGGTTGACTTGTGTAACTAGTGATTCCTTAGTTAAGAGAAAATCCTAAAGATAAAGAGAGATTGGGCTTGGCAACTTAGCTTGGGCTCTTAATGAGTTCCTTATCATCAAGGTTGAAGATCCAACACTTTCCATCCTTGCTTCCAAGCTAAAGGGAGAGGTTTCTTCCTTGGATTTCCTCCCATCAAGTAATCCTCATAATCCATTCATACAAGAGAGAAGGCTTTAGTTAGGGTTTAGGGATTGATCTCAAGATGATGAGAAGTGAGTGTTCTTAAGCTAACCATGGAATCTAATGTGGTTGAGATCCTTGATCTTGATCCATAGCTGATCTTGCTACCCTTGGTAAGCTTGATCTATCTCCTCTCCTCTATGCTTTCCACTTTCTAGAGACAGAGGATGAGGGAAATGAGGGGATAGTGAGTGGAGCTGAGGGTCAGTGGCTGGGAAGTGCCTCTATTTCATGCTAACATGTGGGCCATAGCCCTTATGGGATGATAGTTCATTTACCACTCAATTTGTTGTCTTTGCACACTTATCGGATGGTACGGTGTAAGTGACGGACTGTCCGGTAGATTCTAACTTCGCCTATCCAAGCTTAAAATCTAATCTCTCTGATCTTGAGTCCATATTGGATTTTGCAAAGGCTTTACTTAACCCTTTAGTGAATACAAGGGCTTGAGTTGGGTTCTTCAAGTGATACCATTATTTGGTGGTTGCCCGATTGACTCTAGTTGACTGGTACTTGACTTAGCGTGTCGTCGGTTAGTTGGTTGCTAGGACATAGCATTTCTTTGTTTTTGGGTTGTTGTGGGTGTCCATGGAGTTCGATGGGTTATGTCCTAGTTATCCAAAAATGAAAGCCTATGGGGTAGCGAACTCGGGTCGTTACAACGATAATCTCCCTCGCCATGAAAAGCTAGAGACGAATGGTACCCACGTTGCGCATGCTCCAACTCTTGACCGCCTTGGCGGTGCAGCGCAACTTGAAATCTAGGACCCGACATGCATCAATATTTGAGAAGTTGCAGTCCCATGCCTGCCAGACGATATCATCGAAACCGTCCATCCGTACCCAGAACGCCTCGAACCGAAACCTGGGCTTTGGACCAAGGAATGGTGCTCAGTTGAAGTAGGAGGGGGGCGTGGTCTGAGCAGTTTGAGGACAACAACCTTCGATGGTGGTTTGGGAATTCCTCTAGCCACTACACATTGTCGAAAGCATGATCGATGCATTCGATGGTGGGTCTTCTTCTCTCATTGCTCCACGTGTACAACCTTCCATGGAGGTATAGCTGATCGATGTTGATGTCATCGATAGCATGCTGGAATCGACGCATGGATTGAAGGTTTAGTTGGTTGTTGCTCTTATTTGCCGCCTGATAGGTAATGTTGAAATCATCGCAAATGAGCATTAGTCCAGGCAGGTGTTGCTTATCTCTCTGAGTTCGTCCAAGAATTCTGGCTTAAGATTTTTCATCGACCGGTTCATAGACTGCGGCCAGTGACTAGGGCTACATGGTAGTCTTGACAAGGTGGAGACCGATAGTAACAGAGAAACGGTGATAGGTTTGTGTGGACGAAGACCACGAGCTGCGAGACCAGACGACAATTATGCCCCTAGAGGCACCATTGGTAGGCAAGCACACATAATCAAAGGTTGAATTCATTGGATCAAAGACCATCTGGGGTCAGAGTACCTCAATCTTTGTCTCGTTGAGACAAATGACTGAGGTGCTTTCTTGCTGCAAGAATTCACGCACAACATCCCGACGGGCTCACGAGTTCAGTCCGCGAGCATTCTAGATAAATTTATACTGTCCTAACATTAGCATCTAGGAAAAGCGATACAAAACGTATAATCTAGGTGGCGCGAATGGTCTGGGAGGCCCACTGCTTCCTACCTAGTAAGAGGACATGTGTTGCCTCCCTAGTCTCCAAGGAGAGCAGCAGCTTGAAAAGCCATCTAGAACTCTTCGAATGAAGCTTTCTTAGGGAGCTCTGTTTTGACGTCGACGCCCAAGCGCTTCATCATCACTTTTCGCGCCTGCACCTCCAGCTTCCGCGCCCTGTGCTTGCTCCTTGCCACGAGTCGAGCACGCCTCTTGGGAACCAATTTGTAATCTTCAATCTGTCGTGCCACCGACGATGGGGTGGTCCGGGGGCGTGGGGCGTCGAAAGAACCGGCTGTGACAATGGCTTCTTGAAGGTATCGACGAAGACTCTAGTTGGCAAAGTTTTTAGATGCGACGCTGGACCATGGGCAACTGTCTCCTCCACGGCCTCAATGATTGCGATGCCCTAGGTTGATGGTGGCGCGGTGACCACGATCTGGATGTCAATGTCCACCTGCAAGGTGGACGGGTACTGCTGTCCCACCTCGAGGTGAAGCGTTGCCTGAGCTGCATTCCTCTGGGCCAGAGACACACAAGTCCACCGCATGGGCCACCTCTCTAGATAATAGTCCCACACCATTCAAACTTTTAGAAGCCCCAAACATTAAGTCCAGCCCAGCACAAGGCCCAGTCAGAACGTAAGCAAGGCGACCCGAAAGAAGCTCCAACTACGAATCTAGGGTGGACCCCATGAATCTGCAGTGACGACTGCAGGGTGCACGACCGCCATGCGCAGGCAGATGTCGATGGAGTGGGCCTACACAACGCTGACGTAGGTGCTGACATCTTTCTTTAGCATGCATAGAGAGGCCTCGGTGCACATAGGGTCATCCTCTGGCATGTTGATAGGAGAGGGTGAGCAGTGGCGCGGAGCGGTGAAGTCAATTCTCTCGGCCACGATCGCGGCGACATGCATCGAGCCAATGGCGGAACTTGCGCTGATGATGCTGCGACAGGGTATGGCACTACGCAGTGCTTAGAAAGGTCACATCATGTCACCCATTTTGACATCTTACCTCGATTCACGAGCGCTGAAAGCCAAGCCAGATCCGCGACCTAGCCTTGGCTTAGACGGTCCATCGAACCGGGTGGTGCGCGGCTACGCACCGCCGCCGCCTCCCCCGAACCCAGGTGGTACCCATTATAGTTACTGTCTCTGTTATCATCACTATCTCGGACGCCCTTCTCCTCATCCGTCGACGGCGGCGGGGTGTGCCAGTCCTGAAACTCGATGATCCATAAGCAAACCAAGTACCTGAGCATAGGCACCTAGTCATGGATGATCTTGTTAGGCTACAGGTATAGTGGCGGCCCACCGTCATGCTCCTCCTCTGGCTGTAAGACAGCCATGATGTTCTCGTTGGGAATCAGGTCCGGGTGCATGCACCATGCCGCCACGAACAGCTTGCGCTCGTCATCCGGGTCACTCAGCGCCTCAGGGTTGACGATGTCGACCTTGGCGCTGGAAGAGCCAAGGATTGCCTGTGCCATCTCTGATGATCTGGCGTGCGATGGAATGCCTTTCATGCTGACAAGCACACGGTACCTGAACATGCCCACGGAACCCATGATTAGATGACTCCACCTCCGCCAGTGCAGAGCCAAGGGAGCCCCCTCCAACAATGGCATGCCGAGCACCATCTTGAGATCATCATGGCACGTGGACTGGACAATGAAGTCATCTCACTATTGGATTTAGGTTCTTTGCTGAGTGCCTCCGGCACTCGGCAAAGGCCAAATTGCACTCGACAAAGCTTTTGCCGAGTGCGGCACTCAGCAAAGCCTTTGCCGAGTGCGGCACTCGGCAAAGAACACATGGAAAAAATTAATCGGCAAAGTCCTCTTTGCCGAGTGTCTTTTATCGGGCACTCGGCAAAGGCTTTGCCGAGAGCCACGGGGGCACTCGGCAAAGAAAAGCGACCGTCACGGCGCCGACCCCGTTGATGGTCGCTTTGCCAAGTGCCAACCCTGCAGGCACTCGGCAAAGATTTTTTTTAAAAAATTTTTTTTTGCCGAGTGTCCCTGGCCGGCGCTCGGCAAAGTTTTAATTTTTTTTAAAAAAAATTCTTTGCCGAGTGCCCTTTGGCTGGCACTCGACAAAGTTTGAATTTTTTTTAAAAAAAAAAATTCTTTGCCGAGTGCCCTCTGGCTGGCACTCGGCAAAGTTTGAATTTTTTTTTAAAATTTCTTTGCCGAGTGCCTTCTGTCTGGCACTCGGCAAAGTTTGAATTTTTTTTTAAAAAAAAATATTTGCTGAGTGCCATGGTCATGGCACTCGGCAAAGCTAGAAAAATGGTTTTCCGAGCGCCCATTTTTCCAGCTTTGCCGAGTGCTGTGACCATGGCACTTGGCAACGGGGTCCTTTGCCGAGTGCAACACCCGGCAAAGTGACCCAAAACGGCAATTCATGACAAATAAATTCATACAAACATATATCACATATATATCTCATCCATCACATATATATCTCATCCATCCACACATCCATCCGCACATATCACATCCATCACAATTTATATCACATATATAATAATAAGTGCTCAAGTCCATCCAAATAAATCCACAAGTCCATCAAAGTCCACAAGTGTATCACAAGTATATCACAAGTCCATCACCAAGTGAACAACAAATGAAAAAAATACAACGTGCACTCATCTCGACCACTGCGACTGGTGAAGGCCCAGCTCCATCATTCGGAGGTGCATGAGGTGGATTATTCGAACCACCGTCAGATGGAGACTGCACAAAGGAGTAAAGATTGCATGTGAGACAAGATTATTTAGATAGCTAATCTAGGAAGGTATAGGCCATACAAGCAAAGAACAAGCAAAAGTAAAAAACTTTCATACTCACAGGAGTAGCTACAGCTGCATGACGCGGAGGTAGAGGTGGAACCAATAGCCCAGCTGGTAGAGAGAAGCCCACACATTGCCCAAGCCCTTGTAGGAACTCCGTAATATCCATCAGCCTCTGCGCTTGGGCCTGCCGCTCAGTCCGCTCGGCGTCTAGCTGGGCCACCAGCTCCTGACGTTGCCTCATTTCTTGTTCTAGCTAGGCCTGTAATATTTCACTCCAATGTTTTAGTAATGCAAAGCTAATTAAGGTGTGTAAATATCAATGTATGATGAGTAAAACAGGAATAACCTCGAGTGTGTCGACCCGATGCTGTGCAGCGGTCAGCAATGTGCAAAAGGTCGGGCTCTCGCTCGTGCTTCGTGCTCGGATCTAGGAGAGAGGGAGTAGAGGCTGTGTCGATGATGTCGTCGCCGAGCCAGAACCACCCATGCTTCTTGCCTTGCCCCGCCCTCATGACGGCCTCTCCATCGAAGTCCTGGGTGCTCGGATCGTGGTCTAACCCATGGAGGGACCTCACCACCTCAGTGTACTCACTGATGCGGGAGTGGACACTCGGGTTCGTGTATGCCTTGGGCGGGTCCTCCAGGTTGAAGGAGACGTCGAACATCGCCTTGCCCTTGTGGGCCATACACCATGCCTAGAAGTCCAAGCAAGCCTGGCCACTATGTGACGCCGACTGCGAGAAAGACAGCACGATGATTAGAAATCAGGCAGAACTGAGCGTCATAATAGATAAATGAATTCGCGTACCCATGCTTGTTTGTATCCGGTGAGGCTACGGCTGCCTTGATGGTGTGCTGGACCTTTCATCTGCAAATGACGGTCCCGGGCATCCCTGTGCATATTGAGGTACTCCTCCATGAACCACCTCTCCACCATCATCGCCTAGCACTCGGGATATGCTTGGCACCACCAGGGAATCATCTACACGTCATCAAGTATTGGACATATAAGAAGATCAAATTAAGCCAACTTAATCTCAAAACGAATCAGTATTGATGTTCTTCATTTACCTCAATGTACTGCTCCTGGGTCAGCTACATCTCTCTTGCGTCTTTCTTGGTTTTCCTCTCTCCAAGCTTCGACCCATAGTAGGTTACGATGGCCTGGATGCGCACCTCGTGATGCATGTCGGTGACGAGTTTTTTATAGGCTTTGGTAGTCACCTGCTCCGTCCTGGCCTCAAATCTCTCCTCGCATCTGTAATAAGTCTGCATACAAAAGTGATGTATCCATTCATTATTTCAAGAAAAGTCCAATGAATGCGACGTATTGAGCAATGTTGTGCGAGGGAGACTTACCCAAAACTCTGCCTTCACCCGCGCCGCCTTGTTGGGGTACTCTGCATCGGGGGCGACGGTATAGTGGTCAAACGAGTAGGCCGGCTCCATCTTCGATGCGTTCGTGACAATGCCGGGGAAGTGTTGCCTGCACAGAAGACCCAGGATGTCGTTGACTAGCCGTGCGCTACCACCCGACACAACCACCCAGTTCCTACACAAGTGATTAAGAAAAAATATTAGTTTTTTTCAGCATATCATATGAAGTAGTGGTGATAACATATAAATTTACTTACTTTTGCCCTTCGGGGCGAATCACTGGGCGTTGGTGAGGAAGCGGAACCTGTGGGTGGCTCGCGGGACCTCGCAAATAGACACTCAAAGAGGAGTCGGAGGAAGCGGAACCCGTGCCTGCCGCCTCCCCCCCCTCCTCCTCCTCGTCCATCTGCCAAACCAGCTCCTCGTCCAACTCGTCCACAGGCGCCACCTCCTCCTCCAGCTCCTCCTCACGTGGCGTGGGAGGAGATGGCCCCCTCCTGCGCTAGCGGTCCTCCTCCTCCTCCTCCTGTCCAATCCCTCTACCGCCCCCTCCGCCTCCTCCTATAGCCGGCATGGTCTTTGGTAAATCGAGTTCACAGACCTATGACAGTCGCCCGCCATCTTTGTTCAATCACCTGCAATAAAAAAGAAAAACAAGACATAATTAGAAATATGTGCAAAAATAAACAAAACATAATTACCAAAAACATAGTAATACATGTATTAGAAATATATGCAAAAATGAACAAAACATAATTACAAAAAACATAGTATTACATGTATTAGAAATAATCTTCATGATTGAGATTAGCTGGATCATAGGTCTCGTCATCACTATCAACATTGTCCAACTCATCAACACTATCTGAAGGAGGAATATTGTCTTCATTGTCATTGCCTAAACGTAATCGCTCAAGCATTTGTATGTCCTTCAGATTTCACACCTCATCTCTAACGTCCTCGTCATCATCCCTTTCATTGTCTACTTCTATTCCTATCTCTTCGGTTAAGTCTATGTCAAACCTCCCTTGTAGCCCCTCTTCTTGATAGAACTCTCCATCATATGTGTTTGGGTTGAAGTTGTAATCTTCATCGTTTGGGACAGGTAGTTTACCGTGTGGCAATATCTTGTGCACAACAGACCAACCCTTAAGATGCTCGGCGTCTTTGCACGCGTATGACGTATAATAAACCTAGATGGACGAAATCCTATCGAATCTCGACTAGCCCAAGCTTAGGGGTCCATCTCATTACACCAAGATGAAACCAATGGCATTTGAATATGATAGGAGTAAGAGGTTTGGAACCATAGAATGATAGTTCGTAGATTTCTTCAATTCTTCCATAATAGTCGAGTCCATCAGTGCCAAGCGTAACAACTCCGCTGTTTGTGGTTTTTCGATTGGGCCGACTCTGCTCGTAGCTTGTTGTGTGAAAACGATATCCATTCACGTCATAACCGGTAAATGACTTGACCCTAACGGCACAGCCGTTTGCAACCTATCTCAGCTCGTCACTTATAGGTGCATCAGTTTGGGCTTTCTGTTTGAACTAACAAATGAAATTGGGGCTCTCTGGTCCCGTACCCCATGAAAGAAGGGTATCATTTTCTTGCGGGGTAGGTTGCCTTGATCCATGCCAGGATTGACGAAGAAATTCCCTGTACCAACGAGAAACAAGGGGGTTGGACGAAGAAACAAGGACATACGGCGAAATGAAACAAGTTCATTCAGAACTGACCTAATGAACGGCTGCACCTCGACAAGGTTGGTCAACACATATAGCATGATACTGCGCCACTCTTCTTTTTTCAATTGCTTAGTGGTCGATGCACTTGCGCTTCTGAGTTGCCCTTGGAAAAGGCTAAGATTCGATTCATTTTTGCCAGCATTGTAGCGAGGGGGTGGATTATAAACGCTAGGAAGGTTCTCATTGTAGTATTTCTCTGTGAAGTTCGACACCTCCTCTAGAATGTATGCCTCTGCAATGGAAGCCTCAATTTTGGCTTTATTTCTAAATTTTTTGCGAAGAGTCTTCAGACATCTCTTGATTGGATAGCACCAACGGTTCTACACGGGCCCCCCATCCGTGCCTCATACGGGAGGTGCACAATCAAATGCTGCACTGGCAAGAAGTTGTCGGGTGGAAAGATCTTCTCCAACTTACAGAGCAACACGGGTGCCGCTTTTTCCAAGTCATCAATGATGGTCCAAGAGAGCTCCTTGGCACAAAGCTGGCGGAATAAGTAGCCGTTGGATCCTCGGTAGGAATGAAAGGTACCATAGGATTTTCACAGGGATCGTAAGTTGCCTCTTC